TCTACCAAAACCAAAGGAGGACTACTAAAAAAGAAAATGGAGAAAATGGCAAAGATCACAAAGAAGATAATAATAAACAACAGAAAAACGCCGGCGAAGACCTCGCCCTCGCCCTGCACAACAGCGGCCTGATTGACCCGGGCACGCCGGCGGAGAAGATGACCCGCCTGCAGCGGCTTACTGACCTCGTCCGGGAGCAGTTTTACGGCGATCTCGACCGGGCGGTTAAGGAGGCGATTGACCGCCTGAATCCCGACCTAATCTGGTACGATTGTAGCCTCCTCGTGCCGGCGGTTTACTTTTCCGGAATTCCCTGGGTGATCAACTGCAGCATGACGCCCATCTTCTACGAGTTTGATCCGGAGCTGCCGCCGGGTGGGTCGGGTAAAAAATTGTAGGAATAAAATTTGATTTTACTTTAAAACTTTTTTTTTAATTTTTATTTAGGCCTGCCCTTCAATGACCGATCCGGTTGGGAAGAGTTTCACAACCTCCGACGAAAGATTTTTCAATCAGCCGAGATTAGTCAGTACTTTCAGGAAGTTCTCGGCTATCGGTACTACCCAAAGGGCTGCCGTTTTCCGGGAACGCCTCTGCTGACTGTTTACGCGACGCCTGAAGAACTTAATTATCCGGCTATCAAAAGTCGACCAGACTGGTTCAACCTTGAGGTCTTTCAAGAGCAAACTCTCAACAAAACTCCCGTAGTTCCTCTTGAAAAACTTGTTCCAACGGATTTTTTGGCTGAAGACCTAGGTGGGCGTTTTAGCGGTAAACTGGTCTACGTCTCTCTGGGCAGCATGGGCAGCGTCAATTTGGTGCTGATGCGACGCCTAATTTCCGTCCTAGGCAAAACGCCGCACAAGTACATCGTCTCAAAGGGACACCTGCACGAGCACCTCAAACTGGAGCAAAATATGACCGGTGGGCGGTACCTGCCGCAGGTGGAGCTTCTCGGTCACGTCGACCTGGTGATCACACACGGGGGAAAGTGAGTAAAAATATTTTTATTAACTAAATTACAAAATTTTTTAATTTTTTATTTGTCAGCAACACTGTCACCGAAACTTGGGCGCAGGGAAAACCGATGATTGTTCTGCCGCTGTTTGCGGATCAATTCGACAATGCGCAACGGATTAGTGAGACAGGTTATGGAATTCGGCTGGACACCTACGGTTTCACTGATGAGGAGCTGATTGGGGCGGTGGATCGACTGTTAACTGATAAAAAAGTGCAAGATAAAATGAAAACGGCCGGACAGCGGATGCTCAACAGTGGAAGTAAACATGAACTGCTCGCCGACAAGGTAGAACAGCTGATGGCGGAAAGAGAAGTGGTGGGTTTAAATAAAAAATAAATGTGATAACTTTTTGTAAAAAAATTTAAAAAATTTAAAAACGAGTAAATTCGGTTGTGAATTTTTGTACTGATAAGCGGATTTTCAACTCTGCCCATCTGTGGACAGCGCGCTCACCTGCCGCTGGAAAAGTGCAAGTACCCCGTTCCAGTGTGATAAACTTGAAAAGTTTTGCGTCCTTGATGTTTTAAGTGTTGCTGTAAGTGTGAGTGATATTACATCTTTCAGTTTACAAACATAGCTTGAGTCTGATTTTTGTTGTTTTTCAAGA